AGAGCGTGCAATCAATCCTTACGGGGAAGAGATAGAGAGAGTAAGAGACATGAGGGAGAGAGAGAGAAAGGGGGGAAATAGGGAAAGAGGAAGATTTAGGTGAACTACACTTGAAAAATAGAGTAAGGATGGTGTTTTAAAAATAATATATTTTTTTAATATTTGTTTGGAGTAAAAAAAATTAATTTAGAAGAGATAAAATTAGCTTAAAGAGTTCAAGGATACAAAATTTGAAATTTTTATGATCCAATATATGTTTTGAAACTTTGGATCTTTTAATATATAAAACTTAAAAACAGACGGTGTGAAGATATTTTTCTCTCTCTAATTTATCCAAGATACAATGAAAACATAGGTATAAAAAAACTATTTTTTAATGCACGAGATGCAATAAACCCAAGAGAATTGCCTCTTATTTTTCAACGAGGAAAATTCAATAGAAAGATAAATCAAGGCTATTTGAGGGAGTATAAAATGAGTGGTTCATTACAATTTCATTGAGCGTATAGCGGCCCATGCATAATAATGAAAAGTAACTTTTCAATGTAATTTTCAGTCGAAGGTTCAAGTCCTCTCACGGATAGTACTCACATTTTCGTTGAAAAAGAGTCATAAAAAAATCATCAACCGCATTGGTGTTTAATGGCAGTTCATTTTTTATGGGATTGTTTACAAATGGACTATTTATTTTTTGTACATAAAAGTTACAATTATGATGGTCCCTTAAATTTTAAAATGAGTAATTGTAAGAATGTCATTAAATAAACATTAAGTTTTAAAATTTTTTTCAAACTTTGTGATTCACTCCAAACCATCCAATTTGACATCTAATGAGTAGAAATGATTGTGATTTCTATATACAAAAGAGTGAAAATGATTATGATTTCTATATAAAAAAAAATAAAAATAAATGGTCTTTTTGCAAACTACTCATAAAAAAGGGTCACCAAAAAATCATTAACTGCATTGGTGTTTAATGGCTGTTCATTTTTTTATTTTGTGGTTTGGAACATTTTGCCCATATTCTAGGAGAAAAATACTGCACGGTACAAAAAACATGTACACATGCCCATAACGAGTTACATACACCGCAAGGTGGCATTTAGTCATCGTATGTACTATGTTCTCGCACGGGTATTAATGTGCATCTCCTTCCTCACTCAATATACCTACTTAAGATAATTTGTTGTGTGTGGATATAAAGTATGAAATACTTTGAAGGGCTACACAAATAAAGAAGCTTTAAATACAAATAAAGTATGAAATACATATCATAAAAACATAAAGATTTATGGCGTTCACTTCAGAAGGGCTACATTTACGGTACGGTAAACTGAAATCCACTATACCAATAAAAGTTACATCAAAAGATTTTGAGTAGAGAACAAATAAATTTTTATTTAAAATAAAAAAGATATATAAAATAGGAGATAAGATATGTACTGATTAATAAGAAGGATTTATCTTAAAACAGGAGAGAGAGTTATAATAATAAATAGGTGATAATCATTAAAGTACACTTGATGCGATAAGAAGCGATGTATTTCTCTCACTTAATATATATTTGATAGATATTTTACCTAAATACATTACTTACCTAAATAGATATTTTACCTAAATACATTACTTGCCCCACTCAACAGAGTTGCTTAGCTCGGGTCAAGTTTGAAAACATTGCGCTTCATTAATTTTATGCTCTACATGAGATGCAAAAAATCAATGTTTGAGAACTTGGCCGAGTTAGCTCAGACACGGCCTAGTTATTCGGACTTGGCAATAGGCTGAGGTTGAGTACTCTAGCGTTGGGGACTCCTTACACTGCTCGTTGAATACTGTACCTACTCGGACGAGTAGTCAACTACTTGGCCGAGTAATATTGTACTTAGCTGAGTACTATATTACTCAGTTGAGTTAGGTCATGCCAGAAAAGGCCGCCAAAAGATCTGGAATTTTGCGGGCCTTTTGCTCCATTATTGAAGCTCCTTTAGGAGGGTGTTTAAAAAACCTTCACACTCTCCTCCTCCTAACATCGGTACCCTCTCTCCCTCTCTCTCGGTTGGGCCTCAGCCAGATATAGCCGAGCACAACAACTTTACGCATGGAGAGAAAGGGAGCCGTGGCCAGTGCCATAGGCTTATTGTTCACGATGATGATGGCGCCAATGAAAGCAAAACACAGGTTAAAGAGGTGAGGAACATATGTCATGATAAAGTCTGAGTGACTATGACCTAAGGACTACATAGAGAAGTACTCTTGCTTGCCAAAAAGGCAGATGCACTACAGACTCCATCGAGTTTAACACAGTTTTTTGGCACAATAAATTCGATATTGAGACTAAGGAATATCTCAAACCACATAGTCACTCTTATTACTTCTGAGTAGTGTTTTTTGTAATATATGTTTTTCTGCAATTAGCTATTCAAAGAACTAACATTATAAATTGTCGGTCCCTAAGATGCCTTAAAAACTCATTTTGAAACCCTACTCATGCCTCTATTTTTTTTAAAATTTGTTTTCACTTATTATATGTGACAATGTACAGAAAATAATATAGGATATACTTAAATATTTTTTTTCCTTTTTTAATTCTTAAGGGTATCTTTTACCTCTTTTTGTAGTGAGGCCAGAACTCGGACCGAGTTACTCGAACTCGGCCAAGTAGCTCGGCAGGGTCCTGTGCCAAGTATTTGGCCTGAGCTGAACTCAGACAAACGATCATATTGAAATAAATGAAAAGAAGCGCGAGCAAGCCATGCCATGATCTGGGCGTACACGATTATGACAATCTGTAAGCTGTGATTGATCGGTTCGAGACGGGCTGTCGCACCGCAATTGACAACCATGACGCCTTTGTCTCATTCTCAACTCGCGTGGCTTTGGCCACGTCAATTTTTTATGAAAACGTGGAGTGAGTGGTATCAAATGACTGTCTCTCCACTGGATTCCATAAAAATTTCGTCAAACTCTTTGCATTTGTTTTACTGCGTTTCAAATTCAATGTTTATAATTTAGTCACGTTCAAATGTTTGACAAAACATGACGCAGGTAGCTCCCGCGAGAGAGAGAGTTGGCGCCTTGGGTACACTAGGTTCATTAATGAGGTTTTATTAAAAGGGTGGACTACTATATGCCGGTGATTAAAAAATCGGTGATCCGATTCAAAATCGAGCATCTAGACCAGGAATTTCTATGACTGTGTCAGATCCGATAAAGAACCAGAATTCAATTGATTCATAGTGATAGACTTGCTAGATTTTTTACGGAACAGCTGATGTTGACGATTCTTCACTGTGTTCGACCAATTCTTCATCGAGTCAAGTGAAAAAAAAAAAATGAACAATTTTTTGTTGAATTATTTTTAAAAAAGTTTTGGGACAAAATTACCGATTCTATCGATTCTTCCGATTTAATTTTCCAATTCTCCCAATCCAACACGGGTATAAGTGTGACCAATTCGAATCACCCCCTCATTATTTTAACTATATACTGTATAGAAAGAGAAACACACGCTCCAACGGAGAGATCATGGGTGGGTCCTTGAGCTGTAGTATATTGGGACAACAATAGGTATGGGCCCAGAAAATCTGGGCAACAAAAGATGTGGCCTGCCAAGATGGGCAAAGCATTGCCTCGCCCTATCTTTAAATTTTACTTTATATTTTATTAGGCCTAACTCGGATAGGGCCAAGGTCCGTTCAGGCTAGTGTGGGTCAGGCCAGCTTTGCCGACGTAGAACTATCTTTCTAGAAGAAACGGGATATTTTGTGTTTATTAAGTTTTACCATAGATAGCATTTGATACATAGAATCTTTCTCCCCTAGGCTACTTGGTAGAAATCTCGGAAATTTGTTGGTGACCAAAACACTTAGGATCTCTCCTCTATGAAAATGTCGGCTGGATAAGTTATTGGACATGGTTTTTATAAGTCCATTCTTTCTATTTGGAAAGGGTTGAGCCCCATTCAAGGAAGGATCGTGTTTTGTGTATGATTAGTTTGCTTTCTTATAGCGGAGCTCCACTTGTATAAAAATTTAGCTTAAAATATATTTATTTCATTTTAAAAGATATTTTTTTTTTAAAATTTTGTTTTTAATAAGTTCTAAGAAAGTTGGGATGGAATTTCGGGAACGTAAGGATCATGCTTCTAAAATTTTGGGACCAGAGATCTAATTTATTCAAGAACAAGATCCACAATTTTAAAGAATGTGTTCCGTACCACAGTGGGATCGTGTTCATTTGTGCATAGGATCGAAAATCCTATAAATATAAAAGATAAATATATTTTAAAAATTAAAAATAACAATTTTATTATGAAAACATTTGGACCGTTAATTTGTTAATTTCTTGTTTAGATGAACCACCCATAAACATACACATGTAAAATAGATTACTTATACCTAGAGATAAGAGAGACGCCCCCGACGCATGAATCTCAATTCTCAGCGTTTAAGCACGTTTCGTTGTTGCTTGGGCCTCAAGACTCATTTCTTTATATTTTCTCCCATCCCAATTTGTCTCCAAATCCGGACCTGCCTACACCAACTTTTTTATATAACAGTGTCAAACTTTGAAGTTTGAAAAGTGTAGTTTTCGGTTCAATGAAACTAATCATTAATCAATGCATTCCTAAATCCGCCCTTTACTACTTCTACATGCAGGGGATGGGTCCCTTTCTCTTGCCGCCGCTTTCAACTCTACTTTTCTTCTCCAGATAAGCCTTGCGGCGAGGCACTTTTACTTATATTCCCTTTTTCTTTCTCTTCATTTTGGACGGGTGAGATCTTCTGCCGGATCCAATCCTCACTGTCCATCGCAGAAGGCGGCTGCGTGTATGCAAAGACGGTCGCTACAATGGCGAAATGGAAATAAGGTTTGTGGATGCGGGGTAGTTTGGGTAGATGAAATTTGGAGGAAAACTAGTCCGGTCCAGTGCACGTGGGTCCATCAGACCATCTGGGAAACTTCAAGGGTGCACCAGCCCGGGGGTACAAATACCCCTCTCCTCTTTCTCTCTCTACTCGTGCCTTAACATTTCAGTTTCTCTCTCTTGAAAAACCCTTGACCTCAACTCTTCCCCAAAGGAAACAGTAACATATTTGTCTTGCCCTCATTTTTGAAGATCAAAACCCCCCTCTCTCTGTCTCTCTCTCTAACCAAAAATCAACAATTGTTTCTTTCTCTGTCTAAAAATGTGTGGTGGTGCCATCATCTCCGACTTCATTTCGAGGAGCCGCTCAACAGTCTGCGGTTACCGCTACAACAAAGATGAAATCCAGACTCAATCGGTTTCTCTCTCCTCCAACAAAAGGCCTTTCTCTTCAGGTTGGTTTTTTTTCCCCTTAATCCTTCATTCTTTTGGTTTACAATTAGCGTTTGTCTTTAAAATCCTCCATAGGAACGGAGATTTAGATGTCTGATCGGGTTTTTATTTATTTTACAGGGGATTCAACCGTTTCTCAAGGTGGTAAAAGGAAGAGGAAGAATTTGTACAGGGGAATCAGGCAACGTCCATGGGGTAAATGGGCGGCTGAGATAAGAGATCCGAGAAAAGGGGTTAGGGTTTGGCTTGGAACTTTCAACACAGCTGAAGAAGCTGCCAGGGCTTATGACGCAGAAGCTCGAGAGATCAGAGGCAGCAAGGCCAAGCTTAACTTCCCTTTTGAAAGCCCTAAGCGAAAACCCTCAGTTTCAGAGCCTCGAACCCTGAATTTCTCTTCTTCCAACTCATACCAGGGGCTCAATCACCATGATAACCAGAGCTTTGACCTAGGCCTGAATGAGCAATCTAATGGCTCTGATTTGCTCTTGTTCTCGAACAATGTCCAGCCCTTTACCACCTCGGAACTCTACGGTTTCGACATAAACAATGAAGCATCTGGTTTGTCTGTCGAGGTTGGTTCTCAATCTCTAGCGAGTTGTAGTGAGATGCCACCAAGTCCATTTCCTGAACCAGAGAGCAAAGGAAGCAGCGAGGCTAAACCTGAAATTAAGGTTGCAGAAGCAGCAGAAGGGGAGAAGAACACAGCTGAGAAGTTATCAGAGTCTCTATCTGCTTTTGAATCTTATATGAAATTTTTCGATATCCCTTATCTTGACGGAGCGGCCACTGAAAACGCGGAGACCATACAAGAAGGGGTTGGAGCTTCAATGGAGCTATGGAGCTTTGATGATGCTCCTTTCATGGCCGCTCCTCAAGCGGCGGGATTGTGACCGAGAAAGGGAATTCTCTCTGTAAATAGAGGCGAGAAAACTTTGAGGGTTTGAGGTTTCTGCAACTTTTAGTCTTCTGTCGTGGGATTCGAAATTCTTCGTTTGAGATTGTTGGGCTTTTTCCCGGCGGAGGATTGGATATACCGGTGAAAAGTCGGTGATTTGTCGATTCTTTTTTCATTAATGTTAAAGAGTGTTGTAATTTCACATTAACTATTCTAAAATTTTAATTTGAGGAAATTATTTCTGGAAATGTTAATGTAGCCCTGCTCGCACCCATCTCATGCGTTAGGAGTTAAAAATAAATAAATGAATACATAAAGAGGCTATAAATTTGGAAATGAATTCTAAATTTGAGAAAAAAAAAAGTAGTGAAAATAAGCAACATTAAAATAAGAAAAGAGCAGTAAATGTCTAAAAGAATACCAATAAAATTGAGAGGGGGGAGTATAAAAATGCAGAAAATTGTTAAAAATTCAAAATTGATCATCAAAACCTTAAATAATTGTACTAAGAATTTGTTAATGCATGAATTACAAAAGGAATATAATTCTTATAAATTGCCTTTTATTATTTTGAGTTTGTCAAGTTTATATACTGCTCCTTGTTGGAAGAGTCCCAAGTTACTCGATTGAATCCCGTTAACTGCTATTCCAAATTCCTCATTTTCAGAAACTGTCCAAATAATGAAATCAATTCACATGCTTTTGTGGGAGCATGATGTAAACTTGACTTCCTCCCGCGTAGGTTGTTGTAAAGTTTTTTTTATTTGAAAATTACTATAATAATCAACAATTGAATAGAAAAGAAACGTTGATTTTGAATTTTGAAGTACTTAGGTTTTGGCATCAAAAAATTTAACAATTCATTTTGAATGATGGTATTATCCTAGTCCCTCAAGGAAAATTGTTTCAAGCAGGTTGGACTGTATTTTTACATACATAGTCCAGTCCAGAAATTGTAGATGCAAGTAGGTATTCCATCTAAAAACAATAGAAACTAACTGTCCAAATGTTTTCTTGTTAGAATTATTATTTATAATTTTTAAAATTTATTTATTTAATTTTTATATTCAGATCTCCATGTTAAAGATTATGTGTCTTTAAAGATTAATTTTTAAAATCCATCTCAAAAATATATTTATTTAAAAGCCCTCATTTTTTACATATGTGGGGTTGGTCGTATAGAAACCGGGGCCCTTTTCTCAAACACAGACTTGCGTGCAAGTTGGCCCTTGGGTTGAAGATGTTACATCCATGTTCAAAAGGAGTAAATTACTCAAGGGCAATAAAGTACTGGCTTTTGCTCGAGAAAAAGTTTACTAAATTTTAGATGGGAGAGAATTTATGGCGAGCCAACGCACACTGTTCTCTCGTAAAATCATATTTACAAATCGTTGTCTATCATACATTTTGCTTTATAGAGATCTATACCCTCAATGGGGCCGTTCCTCGTATTTTTTTCTCACTATTTTCAATCGTTTTTTTTTGGGCCTATTTGTTGTTCTTTTTTTTTTAGCCTTCTACTTAAGTAATACGTACCTCTTAAGAGATGTTGAAATATAAGGCTAAAATGAAAAAAGAAAAAAAATTTGACAAAATCAAATGTAAAAGGTGAAGAGTAATGTTGGCCAATTCAACCCGGAACGTTGGTCAAACCAGAACCGGGAACTCGCCGATCCAGTTTTGGCCAATTTTAGTTGTCCGGCCGGGTATTTTTTTAAAATATAAAATATAAAAAAAATAAGAGATTTATTTGTAATGTGTTTTTAATTTTTTTTTATCATTTTGGTAAAGATTGGAAAGTATTTTTTTTCCCTATAAAGGCTTTGCATTTTTCATATTTTTAAAATCTTTTGGAAAATATTTTTAGGCACAAATTGATTTTTAAAATCTTATTTATTTTTTATTATTATTATTATTATTACTTCTTGACTTATTTAGATGTATTGTGTTTAATCATACTTCAAATGTAATTTTTATATTTTTTGTTTTCTTAATATTTTTTGAACCGCCCGCTATCTACCTAGTTCATTGTTTGCAAAATCGCCCTGTCTAACCGCTAACCGCCCGGTTTTGGGCGGTTAGGATGATGAACCGGTATTTAAAAAACAAATGTATATAAATTTTAAAAAACAAGGGATTTGATTTGTAATGCATTTTTAAATATTCTTTACATAATGGTAAAGATTAAAAATTATTTTGGTCATTAATGCTCACTTTTATATTTTTCCATTTTTTTTAGAAATTTTTTAAAATAGCCTTTGAAAAATATAACATGGGTTAAAATCTATTTTTTCTCATTAATTTTCAACTTCATTTGAATGTGTTTTGTTTTAATCATTCTTTATATGTTTTTCGTATATTTTTTTTATATTTTTTTATTTTTATTTTTTTCAATTTTTTGACGGTTCTGTACATACCCAATTAGAGCAATTGAAACCGTAGGCTAGCCGATTATATTGGTTAAACCGCTTCTAAACCTATATCCGATTAACAATTATGGTTTGATTTTGCCAACATAGACCCAGTTCGGCCTATTCAACTTGCAAGTTTACCGGCTGATTTCGGCCTATTCAACTTGCAAGTTTACCGGCTGATTTTTGGAATAATTAGTGAGAACGTGAGGGTAAGACCCAATGACGTAAGCACGGAGCGGAGTGGAACGAAGGATATTTGACGATGGAATCCAGCAGTGTTTTGCGCGTGCCGTGCTATTGATGACGTCATTCCTGGTTTACCGGTGCACACCGGTGTTTTAATCGAGTCGAACCGGACTCGCCCGGATCGACTCAAAAATCGTAATGGGGGGATCGTATCGGCTAAAAAATTGGGAATCGTTCGGTTTTAGAGAGAACCGGACGATTCTGCACAGTGACTCGGCGAGTCACTGTGCGAAATCGACGAGTCCGTGAAGAACACGGGGTTGCACAGTGTTCTTCACGGGATTCTTTGAAATTTGTCATTTTTTGATCATTTTTCTTGTTTTTTTTGGCATTTGATCTAATTTGCAGGCTGTAAACAGCTTTATTCAGCTTTTACAAGGATTAAATGATTGAAAATTTTGGTGTTTTTGGATCACGAAACTTGCTTTTTTAGGGTTTCCGCCTTTTCTGAAAGTTTCAATCCAAATAGGGCATGAATCGTTCAAAATTTGTATGCATTTTGATCGTAAAGCTGTGAATCAAAACCTTTTGTTACTAATTTGTGATAATCGTTGAGAAAAACAGAGTTTTTTGGAGATTGAAGGCTTCGGTTCACAAAATCAGATAAGAAGTTTGGGTTTTTTTTTTTTTCCGCCGTTTGATTTATTTCACGGCGTATTTTGCACATAATGAG